TCGAGTTCCTCAGGCAGATCTCGGTAGACCAGCAGAACCTGGTCATCGGTCTGGTCCGTGACAAAGCTGCGACTGAGAAAAAGATAGCGGCAGAGCTGGGCGACCGTCCAAATGTCCACATCCTCTATGCAGACCTCACTAAATATGCCACACTGAAGCAGGCCGCTGCCGACACGGCCGAGATCGTTGGCGAGCGTGGCATCGACTACCTTGTGGCCAACGGAGCTTTGGTGCCGTACTTGGACGCCTATGGACCCATCGGTGCATTGTAGGTCTCCTTTCCCTCTGGCTACTGTCCGTGGTGGTCGGTGGTTAATGCTATGTGTTCAACAGGAGTGACAAGGTTGAGGAGGTCGAGGCTGTTTCGTCAGAGCTTTGGCAGACCAATGTCGTCGGCAATATCCACCTCTTCCACCTCTTCCTCCCTCTTGTTTTGAAGGGAAATGTCAAGAAGGTCATTACCATTTCCACCGGGGTGGCCGACCTCGACTTGACCAACAATTGCGAGATTGACGTTGGCGCTTTATACGCTGCCTCCAAGGCGGCCATGAACATGATTGTGGCCAAGTTCAATGCGCAATACAAGAAAGACGGTGTGCTCTTCATGAGTATCAGCCCAGGTCTGGTGGAGGTGGGCCGCTACGCCAATGGTACGTATTCCTTTTCTGCCTGGCAAGACTATAACTTCTGGACATTTTGATTAATGCATACCAACAGCCACTCCAGAAGAGATCCAAGGCTTGATGGGATTGTTGGGCAAGCTCGAAACATATGCGCCTCATTTCAAGGGCCCAATCACCCCGGAAGAATCCGTCCGACATGTCAGATCAACCTGGGAAAAGGCCAGCATCGAGGGTGGATTTGGTGGTGCATTTGTCTCGCATTTTGGAAACAAACAGTGGGTGTAAACTCGGGGCCCCGCTATATAAATAACTCCAGATACACTTAGGTATTGATGTATGTGAGACACGTGCATCTAGATACACTCCGTAAAAATAGAAGTATCCATCAATACACGCGATTCTAGATATTGACACGTGTAACCTGAGATCCGCATGGCAGCTGCCACCTTATTGCCGTGCAGAGTTTCAGTACGCCATGAATCTATCTCCTGAGAGCGCCTCTCCTGGTCATGGGATTTTGGTTATGATATTCATAACAAGTGAAATCGAATAGTTGGCGACCCATGTCAACGAGTACATAGTGTACCTTTTCCTTATTCCAGGCGGACTTCGTCGACACTGCGGTCGCTCAGCGACCGGCCTTGAAACTTGGCGAGCATGAATAGCTACGACTATTTATGCCAGCTTCAGGGCCGAAACTATCGACGACACAGCGGTCGTTGATCCGCCACCAGTCCGCTGACTCAGTGAAGTTGATAGCATAGTCGGGGAGTTTACGTGCACCAAAAAGTGTAAGTGTTAAGTTCAGATTTTATGTCTCTGAACTGTTTGGAACATAGTTATGCCAGGTTTTATTAGCTTAACTATAGTTCGCCCAAACATGAAAGGAACCGATCCAGCCAAGGTTCGCCTTACTTCATCAAGCTGCTGATGCCGATCACCGTCCCCGCCAACACTCCATCGGTGACCTGTCAATCTAGCCATGTCACCGATGATCTGCAGAGGGTTGCCCCGCATCCTGGGAGCTGAATTCTTCACATGGAACAGCAAAGATCTACCTAAGGCAACCATTGCACTCAGATGTACATCTTGCCAAGGGCAAGGTTCGCACTACCAAGGACAAGGTTCTCAATTCCAAGGTTTGAATGCAGATAGGTATCCACACAAGAGAGGCCAAGTCTCGAACACCTGCTCCATGCGCTAGGATAAATACGAGGTGGAATCTGCAGAGCTGCCAATCCTGACTGAGACACCTGTAGGAATCCATGAAAGTAGCTTCAGCTTGCACTCATCTTGGCAATTGGTGCTGATCGGCCATGGGCAGAGCCAACTGCCAGCTGTGAGGCGATAGATATCGCCACATCTCGTTGACAGCAGAATATCAAAGTTGTCTATGTCGCTCTGATACTGTACACTACGTGGAATTAAGAATAGTATGTCCTATTTCAAGCATCACATCACATACTCTTTAAGCTTAATCGATGCATCATCTGTCAAGCAAGCATGATGCAACTGCTGACAGCAGATACCTCCACCAAGGCAAGGTGCAGCTAGGCGGACCAGACCGGATTGAAACTATACAAGACCCATCAAATGGCGTCACACTGCATAGAACATTCATGCAGTGTAACATCCTAACTGCGGGCTCGCCCGGTCAGTTCTTGTCATGCGCACTTAGACATGTATACAACAGAAGCTCAGCTACGTCTGTTCAGGATGACCGACCAGCCGATCAATAGAACACACTGAATTGACCGGCGATCAAAGGCCGAGCCTGTCATAGCTGGGTCGTCATAGCTGGGTCATCAGAGCCGAGTCATCATAGCTATCCAAGCTATAAATGAGCCCTTTCCACTCCAGCTACAATCTAGTGGTATCTTAATTATCTGTCGCTATACGGAAATTAGGTTAAAACAACCATAAGGTACGAAGTACCAAAAGATACAGGAAGCAAACATACGAATCTTTTCTGTCGAAGGCAACGCATACTTTCAATTCGGCCGTTACGTTGGTATTCCCCACATGCGTCAAATGCTTTTGTGGTGCTGCTGATGAAAATTAGGACCATAATGGTTGCAGGGAGGATATTCATCGGTCTTCTCTTCCTTCTAGCTCCATCCTACGCGGCACCAGCGGTTGGAGAAGCCGCTGGCCACTACCATGACGGGCTTGGCCTTATGGGCAGCTGGCCTCATACTATGGGGAAGGGTTGGGGCCAACATTGTTCGCGAAACTATGAGTGCGATAGTGGTTGCTGCAATTATGACAAAATGACGCCCGGCTACGGCTGGGGAATGTGTGATGATCGGGGCGAATGTTGGTGGTAAAGCTTCAACGAGCTAGTCTTATTGGTGGCAGATGATAGGTTTCGATATGGGTTTTCCCTTTGGTTTTAGGTTTCCCCATACCCTTATGCGAATGCAGAGACTATATCATCCGCCTGCAGATAATTGCTGTTAAACATAATATAATTTACATAATTCTCCCTGTAAAAAACGCCCTACCAACCAACCTACCAACTAATCTACTATCCAATCTACTATCCATTCTACCATTCAACCTACCATTCAACCTACCATACAATCTACCATACAATCTACCATGGCTAAAAAGAAATCCACTATAGCTAGAAAAAAGCGCGAGCTTGACGAGATGATCGCCGAACTGCCTACCAAAGAAAAACTCTCTAGTCGGCTTCATCCCTTGATACCTACCTCTGAACCTCCACGGCTATAGCTACCTAGTAGCTTAGACCTAGACTCCCTGAGAGCCCATACGCGGTCTCCTCTTCTTCGTTAGCGAAGAGATCTTCGAGTTTCTCAGCCAGTCTAGACTGGTCGTGGATTGGATATGGGTTGATCCACATGATCTTTGATCCAACCCATGCGGATTATGGTTGATCTACCACCTATCCAACCCTCCCAGAATCCATGCGGATTGGATTATGATAATGGATATAATACATACTGTCTAGTCAGGTGACCTCTAGTATTCAGAATTCAGATTACTACTTGTAACATATTTTTCTAGTATTCTAGCCACACTACTAAGATATCTATATATTTTATCCAAAAATATGATAGTATACTATATAAATATATATATTACCTATTAGATAACCTAAAATAGGTTTAATTAGGGAGGTAGGGTTGCCCTATGATGGTGGGATGAAAAGTGGTGCGGAGATATATATATATCTTATGACCACTATCCGTATCACCATCCTCTAAAATCTAAAACCTACCATAACGCTAGATTTTCTTAGTAGATCTAAGGTTTTTATTTTATAAATAGATAGATAGGACTATTCTCTATCCATAAATATATTCCGCTATATAGGCCTAGATCAGGTTAGATAAGCTTATCAGCTTCTAGAGGCCCTAGATCACATGCACCCAATGGTTATCCATATCCATGTGGATTAGGCAGGTTCAACCCATATCCACATTGGTTGGATCAGGCCTACCCAGATCCAATCCAAAGTGCGGATTGGGTGGGTCGGATATGGATTTGCTGATTGAGTCAGCCAGTCTAAGCCAGTCTACCAACGAATCCGCAGCTAAGCCTCTTATCGTCTAGCGTTGAAAATACCTCTCCAAATCCACCAAAGCTGCTTAGAAGAACCTGAGAAAGCTATCGAAGAACGCAGATCTTCTTACGCCAAAACTTTAGTGAAATCTCGAGCGTATCTTTTACCGTAATCGGATCGCCGATGACCTCGGTATAGCCAACGAAACAATTAGGCAAATTGGGCCACAGAACAACCATTGAACCAATACAATGATCAGAGGCCTTACCACACTGGTATATCAACCACAGCCAACGCGAATCGATCAATTGCGACCAGGAAGGGCAAAGAAGATGCAGCGGAAGAGAAGCGGTTTGCAAAAGAGTGTAAGAAGAGTACAGTCGCAAGCCACCACCTTTGGCTCCTAGGAAACTCCGCCCATGCTGCGGTGGCGGATTCAATCTTGCTGTGATCTTCCCCCCTTTCAAAGAGATGAGGGTGAGGAACCTTTTGCTTGGCGATCCATTGTTCTTCGGGTCTTATCTCCGGAGAGGGGAGCTCCCTTCGATTCATTGGACCCTTTTTCCTGGGTTTGGAATCCCCAGGCCCGAATGGACGAAGATCGGCGACTATCTACGCTGATCGTAAACAATACGAGATCCGGCCCTGCCGTGGGCTCCACATTTGCGCAAAACATCGACAAGTCTGTTCAAGCAATTTGCTCAGGAGAATAGGGGCTGGGCTAGTTAATAGAAAATTATCTTGTCAACTCCATTACCGGACATTTCATCCTTCATTCCATCCTTCTTTTCCTTCACCCTCGTCGCTCTTTTCGGATCTTTTGAATCCAGTCATTCGTTCTCTTCAATATGATTATGGCCCCTCTGTGGCCATGCATGGCCGCCTTCCTAGTTGCCCTGCCAGTGGCTCTAGCAGGACATGGCGACGCTATCTCCCAAAAATATTTTGTCGAGTTTACTGATTCCAAGACCGTTCGTCCACATATTAACGCCGTCGCAATTCCAATTCATTGCGCAGACTCACTAACTTACACAGTCGTCCGCCAGCTTCCTCTCCACCCTCAATGACCACGGCATTCCAGCCAGTCTCAACCATGACCTGTCCTTCGCTCTTTTCCATGGTGGATCGTTTACTCTGTTAGACAGCAAGCAGAACGAGGCTGCCATTGTCAAGCAAATCTCCTCGTGGCCTGTGGTCAAAAAGATCTCCCCGGTACGGGAGCTGCACCAACCTCAGCGCCCCGTTTCAAGTGTCGGCCACGGCGCGCCCGTCCGCCATATTCCTGCCCCTCACGGTCTCCGACGCCGTGACACGACGGGTCACGAAGGCAACGACTACCCACACATCATGACTGGAGTTGACAAGTTGCGCCAGGAGGGCTACCTGGGTACAGGAATTCGCGTAGCGGTGATCGACTCGGGCGTTGACTACAAGCACCCCGCTCTCGGAGGGTGCTTTGGCAAGGGTTGTCTGGTTGAATTCGGCTTCAACTTCCTCGACAACACTACCGACCCGTGGGAAGGCCACTCTGGACACGGTATGTCAACATTCACAGACACGGTAAATTTGGAGCTTTCGGCTGATCGCCTGCAGGAACTCATGTCTCTGGACTGATCGCAGCTCAGCCCAACCCCTACAACTTCACGGGCGTAGCCCCGAACGTGACTCTTGGTCATTACAAGATCCTTGGAAAGCGGACAGTGAAACTTGGTACTGACCTCGTTGCTGCCGCTTTCAAGAAGGCCTACGAGGACAAAGCAGACATTATCTCTGCATCGTTTGGCACTTACAAGGGCTGGAGCGACGAACCGTGGGGACAGCTGATCCAGAAATTGGCCGAGGCTGGTCTTCCCTCGTTCGTTGCCAGTGGCAATGACGGAAGTAATGGCTTGTTCCTGGCCTCAAATGGTATCGACAATTCTGCTGGCATCGGCATCGGATCCTTCAACAACGTGTATAGTCCATTGCTGCTGCCTGGAGCTTCCTATTCCACGGGGAACACCACTAAGGAGTTTGTTTGGCAAATCGCGGGTACCTCCGACTTCAGGAATGGCACCTACTCTCTCTACCCGAGCAGCCTGAATGCATCTGTCATTGGTGATTCTTGCGAGCCATGGACAGCGGGCCACCAGAACATCTCCGACAAGATCGTCCTGATCCGCTACGGTGGCTGCCACGGCAGTGAGCAGCAGGCCCACGCGGTCAACGCCGGTGCTAAGAACATCCTGTTTTATAACAATGAGCCGGGCACCTATGAGCTTCCTGTCCAGAACCCTGCTCTGGTGGGCCTAGGAATGGTCTCTGCCCAGACTGGCGAGAACTGGGTGAAACTGGCCGCCACTGGAGCCAACATTACTCTGCACATGACCAGCGCAAAGTACGCTAAAACCATCTTCATCAATGAGACCAACCCTCAATCTGGTGGCCACGTGAATGATGTTACCGAATGGGGGCCCAGCAACGAACTCCTTCCTGTGACCGCAGTTTCGGGAGTCGGTGGGTTCATGCTGTCGACATGGCCGCTCCTTGAGGGCGGCTATGCTGTGGATAGTGGTACTTCGATGGCGACGCCCTACGTTGCTGGCTGCGTTGCTCTCCTGATGGAGGCTCGGGGAAAGGGCAAGGTAACCCCTGCTGAGATCAAGTCTCTGTTGACGACCACTGCTAGGCCCAATGTGTTCCATGATGGCGTTACAGCCTCGCCCTTCTTGGCCTCCGTGGCGCAGCAAGGAGGTGGCCTTATCGATGCCTACAAACTTGTGCATACCACCACCAAGTTCAATGTGAGCACCATCGCCTTCAATGACACCGAGCATCTCGCCCCGGCGTGGATCCGCATCAACAACACCGGTTCCGAGCCGCGTGTCTACAATGTCGGCCACGTGGGCGCCGCTACCGTCTACACTCTGTCCGACAACAGTTCCATTCCGCAAAACAACGAACTCGGCCACTTCGTGGACCGCACTACCGAGGGCGCCTCGCTCAAGTTCAGCTCATCCATCGTGCTCGTGGCCCCCGGCGAGTCTGCCGTGCTGAAGGTCACTGCTACCCCGCCCAAGGGTCTCATCTCCCGTCGCATCCCCGTCTACAGCGGATACGTCACCTTCAACGGAACCTCAGCGGATGATTCCTTCTCGGTTCCCTACCTGGGGGTTGCCACCGCCATGCGCAACGTGACGATCCTAGACACCACGCAAGGCAGCAACTATATCATCGACAGTACCACCCAGAAACGCGTCCAGGCCAACCACCAGTTCGTCCTGCCGAGCAAGAATGGCCCCACCCACCGCGCAAACACAAGCTACCCCATCTTCCAGACCCAGCTCTCAATGGGAACGGATCTGCTGCTCGTCGGCGTCCAGTCGGCAAACAGCCGCACTATCCTCCCAGTGTCTGATCCCCAGACAGCCCTCGCTCGGAGTGTTGATGGTCTTGCTGGCCCCCCACCCATTTCCTGGATGGGCAAGTTGGCAAATGGTTCGTATGTTTCAGCGGGCAACTACTCTCTGGTTGTGCGTGCGTTGAAAATTTTCGGCAACCGCACTAACCCGCGGGATTATGACACCGTGCGCACGGTCAACTTTGGGATCAGATACGCTCCCCCAGCTGACCATGAATGAGCCATAGAGCCGTTTGAGCTCGGGATGCATTGCATCTCCGCCCTGTACTAGCCTAGACATCTGGACCTCGGCATGGCTCTCGCGAATGTCCAAGCTTTGGTCCTTACAATTTGTCCATTCTTTGCACAGCCTTTTCTGTCCCCTTCTGAACAGGATGGATGGTAATAATCATTACATCTAATAGAACCCTGTAATAGAACCCTGTCGTTGACAGCTGCAGTGTCATTGACATATCATCTTCTAATATAAGCTGCCGACTGAAACTTGAATGGTCGTTTCTTTTGCTATGAGTTGACCTAAAATAGGAGAACGAGTTGAGATAGCTTAACGTTGTAGTATGCAAGAGCAGCAAGCAATGTAGTCCAACAAAATACCGCATTTCTACAAATAGCGTTCTATAGCTTCGGCTTGACCTCATCGACATCCTTCAGCTTCGGCTGGTCAATGAAGATCGAAAGTACATTTGCTTAGACCCAATTACTTCAATCCCGTGCGGGTACACAGCTGGCACATAGTACAGAGTAATATCGTCCTGCTGCAACAGATATGCGTCCGTTGACCCGTCCCGATCCATGATCGGCATCCGCGCGGCGCCTTCAGCGACTTAGCCTAACTCTGAGCTCTAGTACTAGTGTTGTGCGCAGAGTCAGTCCATGGGTGCCATGCTAACTGTAAGTGACTATAAGGTCTCCTAAGTATAGGAGTGGTTTTATAAATTTAAGAACTAGATGATAGTCCTTCACCAGCTTATTACTACAAAGTGAAAGGCCCCACAACATTAACAGCACCTTTAGAGAAGAATCTCATCTTTATGCTAGTACCTACAATTATCCTTAATTCTTCTCTCTGTATATGCCAGATATCTAATAGTCACATTTCCCTTACAAAGCTAAGCAGGGCAGATATCATTAGTTCCTGTATATTTAGATGTTCCTCTATCTATAATACCTATCTCTTGTCTTTCTTTTCTGGGGGCCAAACAAATCACTATCTCTACAAAGACTCTGCAAGTAGTCATTGGATTGTTGGAAAGCCCATCCCTAATAATAACACCTATTCCTGCTGCATCCAGTCTCACAGACATTATTATTGAAGTTATTTAGTAATTAGCAGAGATTGCTCCCAAGCCTACCCAGCCTTGTAACAGATGGAACTTTATTAACTAATACTTGCTGTTTGATAGGGTCTTTAGGAGAGCGACTATAAAGCATAAATGTATGGGGCAAGGTATTAAATGAGCTTCTGGTATTGCAACCTGCCTTGCCCTATCGACACGGTGCAAACTCTTTTTTGCCTATACCATAGTATATTGAGAATACTGGTCGAATCCGCAAGTGCCAGTGAGGAAGAGCTACTGCGGTGTGGAGTCGGATAACTCAAAGTTGGAAATGTGAGATATAGTGCATCGGCAACGGCTCTGTGCAGATACTACGTGACGCATAAAAATAGCGAAGTCCAATGCCAGGACACGTTGAGGACTGCTGAGATCCCTCCACCAGGAGGATGGCAAGTAGTTTACTGCAATCATACCTCTGCATGGTCCGTGTACTTCGAACAGAGGTCAGGGGTCGACATTCTATCCCGGAGTGGAAGAATATTGGTTATATGTTCGGCAGAGAGCAGTTGGGCCATACAGACTGCTAGTATCAAAAATTCGTCGTCTCTTATTACCCTATACCTGAATTCTTGTTCGGGTCGATACCTGAAATTCGTCCAAAGTCCATATATATTCAACACGTTTGGATTTGGTAACGATACGCTTGTACCTAGTGAATAAAGGCAACAAACACAAGTCCATGGCATACTTCTTCAATGGGGTGGATCCAGGCCTCGCTACTAATTTACAATGTACACTATTGAAGCTGAAGCGGTCTCATATATGGCCTACGAACCCTTACGCATACGCTAGTATATTACGCGTTACGAAGCTGCAGCTGACCGCCGGTGAGGTGTATGTCGGATGCATAGGCTGATCTAGAGAAGCATTACACCGGCAACTCATAAAAGTCAGTCCAGTGATAACGCCTATGATTATATTATACTATGATATCCGCCTAAATAGAAGAATCTTAAGTCAGGAGTGACGTTCTCCATTGACGGCTAGTGAATGTTGCAAGCCTGTATAGCTTGGATGAATACCTGAGGTCCCATTATCCTTAACCTCATAGAATTAAACAAGAAACAAGTATAAAGGCGCCTAGTACAGCCATAGACAACCTAGCTCCTGTGCATATGCTCGGTGCCTCAGAGGATTTGGTAGTGGTAGAATTAGGAGAACTGGGAACTGTAATTGTAGTAACGGGACTAGATGTAGTTGTTGAATAACTTGGATTGGAGGTAATTATCGCCGGGCTCGAACTTGATTGATAGCTGTTGAACCAAGATATAACCTCTGAATCGGTGGTCTCCCACATAATAGGTATAGCCACTGCTGACACAGTGGGCTTGTTAAGGACCGCAGTCGGCGTAACCGCTCCAGTTGGAACGGTGATAGGCCAAACAGTATCTGTCCAGGAGTCTCCATATGGGGCGGACCAAATACTGGTCAATGTCGCCAGCCCGGGCGCGACTGAGACACAGGCGAAAGTCGTTGTAAACAGAGCGTTCGTCACGTCAGGGGAAGGTGTATAGCCTCTGATAGTTAAGTTCCCAGGTAAGTCACGAATCTATCGTTGGCATACAAATGAAGAGCCGGAACTTACGATGGACAACAAAGCCAAGCGGTAGCGCTGGGGGTTGGCACTCCTAGTTGTACAGCTGGGGTGTAGCTGCTTGGGCATATGCCTGGTGAATAGTACCAGGGTTGGGCCAGTGGGACCGGGGTCGGACCGGGGGGAATGCATGGGTTGGAAGTAGTGTCTACCAAGTAATCGGGCCAAGCAGGAGGCCAGAGGCCGATGTAATAATTAGAACTTTGGGCTGAGGGAGGATTGTCGTAGCCGAGTACGTAAAGGGTTGTTGTCGCCAGGCACGTCGACGGGGGGGTAAAGGTAGTGGTTAAAGGACCACGATTCCATACAACTGTTGGGGCGATCATAGCCATTTCGGTGGAGAAGTCAAAAAAATATATCATTTATCAAACACTAGGTGGTGGATGGATTGTGGGCTGGGTGGGGGTTTATTAAGGATGTAGATTGTATCAACCCAGTCTACGCTCTTTTTGTAAAAGAAATTGCGACTATTCGTATTCGGAATCGGATTTATCTCAGCTCCTTTCTACCACGTGGTTCCTGTCCCCTGCTACGAAGTCTCATTTGCCCGGGGTTGTCCGTGCCGTCTGAGGCTGTGGCGTCAGAGAGGGCCCGTTCACGGTCCCCTGCATGGAGGCGATGTGCCCGTGTAACTGTAGGTTCTATGTACAGAGATAACGCGAGAGGACTAAAATCCATTCTTGGCTACGTGAGGGATAGCGAGATAGCCACAGAGGCAAGCAACTGACTCTTGAAGAATAATCTCCTTTTCTCCAGCCTAGTAATGGTGTTGTGTGCGGAGTCATTGGGCGCCATAGTAACTATAGCTGACCATAAGCTCTACTGAGCACAGGAGTCAATATGTCCTATCTTAGCAGAGTTTATAGCCACTCTAGGAGTCTATAGCTACCCCAAGAGTCTATATTTACTTAACTATAAGTCTCTATCGATATCCTCAGTGTAGATGTTTGCTTCTGTAGCCTGCTATACATATCCATAGTGGCCTGTCCTCTCTTGATTCCTTACCTATGAATAGGCAGTGAGCTTTTAATACCCAGGTAAGCAAGCAACTAATGGTGGTATGATTTAGATTAGACCAAAGAAACCCAATTTCCATAGGAAAGCTTAATTTTTGTTACATGCGATACCTGCCATCATTATTGTTATGTTTGATCCCGATGGAGTTGACATTATCAGACCTCAGCCTTTGCAGTAGTGTCTACTTTTTTCTGGCACATAAATTAAATAGATAAAAATCTACTAAGCATGTTTCCGGTGCTCACCTCTGACTCTTGAGGAGCAACCTTTCTCCTTAACCTCTCTTCTTTGAGCTGCGTGTCGACGAGCTCTGGGTCAAACGTCACTTGGCCATATAAGGGGATGGTGTTGGTATCGGATGCTCGTGGTGTTGTTTGATAGGAGTCCTCCTCGATAATGCGACGTGAGGCCATTGAATTAGCTGGCTCGTAATGGTACTTGTACTGAGATGACATAGTGAAGGGAGAGCTCTTTTTCACTATGTTACTTGGTATTTGTCAGGCTGTGATTATTCTTTATATGGCGCCATAAGACGACTGCCACTTCACTTAAGATAGATAGGTGGCAAAAAGTATAGGGAGAGACTAAAGTTCAGTTAAGACAAGGTTAATACTTTTTAAGTTGAAGTGTCATCTGAGGTGCACATTTAATCAGGGTGGCAAACAAGATGTTAGATGATTGTTGAAAGTCTGAATGTCGAGTTACAGTGTAATCGACCACATGGTGAGTTCTTTTTACTACTAGCATGGCATATTCACATCAATCTGGCCTAGAAAGATGTTGATGGATTTGTAATGCTAATTCTAGGAGGACAAGGTAGTGGAGGGCACATAATCAATACGTAATTTCAAACCGAGTCAGACACCCTAGCGAGCCGGACGCCTCTGTATTCCGTATATGATGGTACATATCCAGACTTTGATATCTCAACAACCAAGCAGATGTCTACAGGGTCTAAGTTTAGGTAGGACGTATTAGTATAGTTATACAGAGTAATACTTATAAGCTACAGCCTCCTAGTATATATGAATTACTTGTTTCTATTAAGGGAATGTCAAAGTTTCCTCCACTGTACTCAATATTTGGTGAGCTGTCTTGGAGATCGCTTATATAATTGGGCCCAGTCAGAGCACTGGCGTTTGAGAGGAACGAAGCATTCACGACCGCCAGTCCCATGCTCACGACAAGTGTTGTGAGTGACCGAAATGATACAGGTTATTTGGAGAAATTGGCTCCACAAGTGGCGATGCGGTGCGAAAGGAGAGCAAGTTACGCCCTCAAACTTGGCCTTCTCTCCCATTGAAGCAGGAATCCCGTGTTAGCAATGCAACACTGAACTTGGGGGCTAATGGAATTTCAAAATTGGGATCTATGGATGATCTCCATTACTCCATCCCGGAAATAGTGAAACTGAGAAGATACGTTGGCGAAACTCCCTGTGTGATCAGCATTGTCCACTGGTCGGCTGGTCCGAGAAGAGTGTCCGCTGAAACATCTGGCAGACCCGGTATGCTTCACAGCCAGAGCACGCGGGAACTAATTGGAGCATCTCTGCTTACTGGTCTCACTACTGCTGAATAAATCCGATAGTGCATTGAGTAGGATTTATGTAATCACAGCCAGATTCCGGACAATCTTCGGATGAAATCTCTGATCGGCATGCCGAGAGTCCATCTGAAGGCAGAAGTGGACCTTTTCTCGGTGAATCCGCGGGTGTGGAAACTTCTCCCGTCTAGTACAGTCTCATGTCAATACGGCTCTGTAGGGAATCTAGATGCAGGATTTTGGGAATATCCTAGAGAGAAGGGTGGTGCTACATACCATATACGGACATATGTCACCACATGGTGCTATACGCACGAAGTCAGCAGCGACAACAGGGGAATGCAGGCAGCGGGTGACCATCTAGTTGGACCCTCGAGGTAATTTAAATTTAGGATGCGTTTCCAACCACTGCTGTGGGACAGGGATCCCTTCTTAAATGACGGACCCGCTGACAAACGATTATGCAACTGACCCCTGCGCTGTCGCAGGGTATAGAGCGACCGGGAAGTACATATGAAGTCCTTTTCCCACACAGTTCTATCAGAATCTAGTGGTCATTTCATCACCTATACAAACTATGTTGGGAAAACTCTCATTCCTCAGCGCCCTGTCCCTTGCAGTGGCGGCACCTTTGTCCAACTCTACGTCTCCAAAGTATGATTATATCATCATCGGAGGTGGTACTAGTGGTCTGGCTGTCGCAAATCGTCTATCAGTGGATCCCAGTGTGAGCGTGCTCGTTCTTGAGGCCGGTGGCTCAGTCAGGAACAATGCCAATGTCACAAACGTGGATGGTTACGGGCTTGCATTTGGGACAGACATTGACTGGCAATACCAGTCCGTCAATCAGCCATACGGAGGAAACCTGAGCCAGGTGCTTCGTGCCGGGAAGGCTCTTGGTGGAACGAGCACTATCAATGGTTTGTGTAACAGTCCGTGTCTTCACCTGACGTAACTAACGGAATGTCTCATATCCACAGGCATGGCTTATACGCGGGCGCAGGATATTCAGATTGACTCCTGGGAAACCATTGGGAACACCGGATGGACGTGGAAGAAATTGTTCCCTTACTATCGCAAGAGCGAGAACTTCACCATTCCAACCAGATCTCAGGCCTCTCTTGGAGCGTCGTATAATCCTGGATCCCACGGCCAGGACGGTCCCCTTGATGTTGCCTTCACGAACATCCAGTCCAACACCCTAACCACCTATCTCAACCGTACCTTCCAGCGCATGGGACTTCCATGGACTGAGGATGTCAATGGCGGAAAGATGCGCGGCTTCAACATGTTCCCCTCCACTGTGAACCTTGATGAGTATGTTCGCGAAGATGCCGCTCGTGCGTACTACTGGCCCTACCAGTCCCGACCTAACTTGCACGTCCTGCTCAACACTTTTGCCAACCGGATTATGTGGAAGAGCGAAGCCCATGATGGGCACGTCACTGCCAGTGGTGTTGAAATCACGTCCAGAAACGGTACCGTCAGCGTTATTAACGTCCAAAAGGAAGTCATTGTCTCTGCCGGTGCCTTGAAGACCCCGGCTATCCTCGAACTTTCCGGAATTGGCAACCCTAGCATTCTTGGAAAGTTCAACATCCCCGTTCAAGTTGACCTTCCTACTGTCGGTGAGAACCTTCAGGACCAGGTGAATAGCCATATGGATGCTTCGAGCAACAGTTCCATCTCCGGAAGCAAAACGGTTTCCTACCCCGATGTCTATGATGTCTTCGGTGACAAAGCCGAGTCCGTTGCCAAACAAATCCGTGCCAACCTGAAGCAATATGCAGCCGACACAGCCAAGGCCAACGGAAACGTTATGAAGGCTTCCGATCTTGAGCGTCTCTTCGAGGTCCAGTATGATCTTATCTTCAAAGGCAGGGTTCCAATCGCAGAAGTCCTGAACTACCCGGGAAGCGCGAAGTCAGTGTCTGCGGAGTTCTGGACCCTTCTTCCCTTCGCTCGTGGAAGTGTCCACATTGGTTCCTCAGACCCGCTCCGATTCCCTATCATCAACCCCAATTACTTCATGCTCGACTGGGACACGAAAAGCTACGTCGCCGTTGCAAAGTATATTCGCCGCGCGTTCGAGAGCTACCCTCTCAGCAGCATCGTCAAGGAGTCCACCCCAGGCTATAGTGTCCTTCCTCGGAACGCTTCCGAGCAGAGCTGGAAAAAATGGGTCTTTGATAACAACTGTAAGTTCTAGATGCATTTCCGCAGTAGTATGCGAGTACAAATCCTAACAATCAGCCTAGATCGTTCTAATTTCCATCCCGTTGGCACTGCTGCCATGATGCCTCGTGAAATTGGCGGTGTCGTGGACGAGCGCCTCGGTGTGTACGGCACTACGAATGTCAGAGTTGTAGATGCCTCGGTGCTTCCATTCCAAGTCTGCGGCCATTTAGTGAGCACCCTATACGCTGTGGCCGAACGGGCAGCGGATTTCATCAAGGCCGACGCCGCTCGTCGTTAGATAGATCTCAAAGGGGACGTTTGTTACGATCGATGGGTGGGTGATTAAGATGGGGTGTATTTGAGCAGTAATAGTATATCGGGCATCCTGTATGGCACAATGCATGAAGTTTGCTATTTATATGACGTTAATAGATTCTTGAAATGTGGCCAAGACAGATCTAATTGTATAAGATTCTTTCATTGAAGTGCGATAGATACCTTCTATATACTATCCAGAATAATAACCTCAGCCTCATCCTCTCCAGTACTCTTCACATTCAATACATCAAGCTGTATTCACCCCTGAAATAAAAGCCCCATCGCCCTCCCTAAGCTCTGCATCATCATGCTCATCCAGACGGATCTTAGCCTTTCCATTGTCGTTATTGGCAGGTGGACATAGACATTCATGTATTTCCTTTATTTTCTGCTTCCTTTATTGCATCCTTTAATTTATTTTATGTGTTTAGTGCTCCTTACTTGATTGTGTCGATGCTCTCGGGAGAGGTGCTCAGCATCTTCCTGGTGCGAGCCACCGGAGGAGCCCGGAGAATTTTGGCTACTGCTTTTATTCGGGAGCATGGTTACGAGCGCGACTGCTGTTATACGAGTTCGACTCAGTCGTCGATTTCGGTACTGGTCCGGAGGCTAGCTAAACGAAATTAGCACTATCCGATCAACCACAGTAAGAGTCAGCTTCGGGACTTCGTCCAAACCCCCCTTAAATAAAAATAATTACATGATCCCCACGCTCCAATCATATTTTTGAGCCATGGCTTAGGGGGTATCCTCGTGAAACAAGTATGTGAGAGGGAAACAAGAAGACTGGAACTAACAACTTCAATAAGCATTGGTGATAGCGACAGGAAACCATGATTGGCGTGGAAGCAAAACGGTCACCTAGGTCGCCTATTGGAAATATAAATTGCTGGGAATTGTTTGCGCAGATGGATATTCGTTTTGGGGAGCATCGGACGTGATCTACCTCGTCTGTGTCCTGTGCGATCATTAATCAAAGTACAAGAAACCGAAACGATCCTTCTGTGGTTAAATCGGCTGTAATGCCCTCCGAAATGATCAGCCTGAGTTCTGTAACATTTGATGGTCAGGTGATAACTGGCCATTGTGAAGCGATGGATGCTTGTCTATTGGGTAGTAACCCGGACGTTTACCCAATGATGACCAACGGAGCTAACTACTTAAGCCACAGAGCACGGTGTCATGTTCCAAAATAAGCAAGCTCCACATGCCTGATTATGGCCACAGCTAGTAAAGTTTGCCCATGGTAAGTTGCCACCCTTTCTGTAAGAACCTAAGTTCAACAAACTAGTATTATTTATCAACACTATGAGATCATTAAAGACTCATAACAAATTCAACCTGACTGTATTTCCACAGGACAGATTCAGATGGACTTTTGACGGGTTAAGAGACTTATGAGGCTTATGGCATGACCATACATGTCATTGACAAGCCGACTCAACAAAATGCGGACCGGGTCGGCTGACTTCGCCACGCCTTTTCTTCAAGCAAGCTGTTACAGTCTATCCAAAGTTAATGAAGTGCTCTCCCTAGCTTCTAGGATCACAGAGGGCGCCTAGAACTCACGCCCCGGCTATTTTCTGATCAGAAGGACAAAGTCAATCGTGAGTGGGCAGCGTAAAGCTGTCTGGCGCAAACGTGATTCCTTTTGTAGCTGGACTCAGTATGCGTTGGTCCGAGCAAATCTGGTAGAATGGATAAAGCTTTTTTATATTACTAGATTCCATGGGGTATCAACCGTAGATGCTTACGGTTCGGAGAGCGACATGAGTTTGGAAAGAACTGTTTTATGAACTTAATCATCCAATCATACTAGAACTAGGGCTCTCAAACTTTACTGCTCGTGCAGCATCAGCTAAATGTTCTAATATCTAAGTTAAAAATAACCTTAAAACGATGGACTTTCTGTTTTGCTTAAAGTTTTGAATTTGAGTTCCAGATGATTCTAAGTCCGGTAAGTCCCATTCAAACTTATTTAAGAGCCAGTGAGAGTAGACAGGTTTAGGGTTTAGCTGCACTTGTTGAGAGATCACCAATAAAGACCTATTCCCACTACGTGTAAGTGACTGCCGACATACGTGTCCTTGTTCTGTTAAGGCGTCCTGCGCAATAAAAGTGTTGGCTGTAACAAATCTATCTGACCCCTACATTAATCTACTCATCTGCCTTTAGTTGTCAAATTATCAAGCTCAGGAACAAAACAGCGAGATGGTTTGTGAGTTAGAAAGGTGACTGATGTACATGGACTCCATTCTGACGGCCCTCGGTTTAGATAAGCGCTTCACTGAGTCACAGCTCAATACCATCGTCTCCATCATTGAGTTTGCCTCTGGCAACCAGGATGTCCTGGGCATGCATGCCGGTCTTGCCTGGGGTATCAACAAATTTCAGATCGCATATATTTAAGCAACGGCTGAGTGGGAATCCAGATTCAGCCCTATCGAGGAGACTGGAGGGAAGTATAAACCCTACGCTCCGTATTATGGCCGTGGCTATGTGCAACTTACTTACAAGGGTGAGCACCCATCTCGGCTTGCCATGACTTATAATAATATTGACATTTTGACAGAGAACTATGAAAAATACGGCCGGCTGCTCAATCTCGACATGGTAGCCCACCCTGAGATAGCACTTAGACCTGATGTATCGCTTGTTGTAATCGTCCATGGTATGGCCAAGGGTAGCTTCACTGGCAAGAAGCTCGGCGACTACATCACAGATTTTGACCATAGAGTATACCCGATCGAATGTCCCTCTGAAAGACCGCGCTAAAGGTGCGACATATACAGGACTACATCAATGCCCGCCGCATTGTCAATGGCCTTGACCGAGCTGCCGAGATTGCTGCCTTCGCCACGTTCTGAGAGGGAGCTCTGTCTGGGATCAACAGCATTGGCAGTGACCATACTCATCTCCTCTTCCTCAAACCGCATCTCGGTGAGCTTTCTGACGGCACGGAGGCCGATCCGAGGACCAATCAAAGGTTGGAAACCAGCGACAACCCACAATGTCCCAGTACATCAGCACTATATCAGTCCTATAGGTTCCATACATAGAGTAGTCGTGTTTCCTTTTGGCAAGGTCTTGCTCGCATCCTCTGGCCAGGATGCTCTCATTACTGAAGATTACCCCTTTAATCCTTTCCACTGCGGCACTAGTTTGTCTTATTATTATCTTTTGCAGCTATACATCACTGTCTTCTCTGCAAGAGTTATTCTTCTTGAAGGTATTTCTTCTAGTATAGTATACCTAATCTGGTGTTGCATATATGGCTTATAATTAGTTTCTGGAAGGTGGATTTGAGTGGGTTCCCTAAAGGGGAATAGCTGAGCCTATGTTGGCTACTTAATATCCCTAACACAGATACTCTATCTAGATTACTTAAAATAGGCAGTCTTGTTAATATTATTCTGGGTTCTGCTAAAGATGTAATGGACTGTATAGGTAGCTATATTAACTAGCTAACTAACTATCTAAAGTTACTCCTTCTGGACTACTATGTGGTTGGTCTCTGGGGTTACTGTAAGGGAGAATAAAATAGTAAATCTTTCTTAAAGTGCTCTAAACTAAGTACCTCCTTCTCATTTAACCTGGGACAGATCCTTTATGCTAATTTAGGTTAGGCAGATGGACTGCTCTCCAAGTTCGCCTAACCCATCCTATAAGGATACCACCATATTTCACATTGGGTTGCGTGTTTGTGTATATTATAGATTCATTGCTATATTTATGACAGTTATTATAGTATTAATATGCTTCCTAATAGTGAGAATAGTCATTCTTATATCCTTAATGGTAAGTGGCTGTTACAGCACTGACACAGCCGCGCTAGCGCAAGGCGGATGTGACAGGCAGAAAACCCAAGGATTAATGATCACTAGTTAATCCTAGAGTGATTAGGGTGCAATCCAGAGGAATACTTAATCTAGATAGGTTTCTACAGAAAAACAGTTCAGTAGTTACTTACTGAAGTATTATGCTTACAGAAGCAAATATATAATATAGTATATAAATAGTATACTAAGACCATGATATTAGGGTATGTGATATACCACTTCTATATTAAGAATATACCATCGGATATACTAACTAAGGAACTCTGGATATATAAGGATACTTATTTATACTATATCTAGTACTCTTAGTTTAGTTCCTTATATTTAATATAAATTATTTACTTAAGTATAAGGTTACTAGTCTAATTTATTAGTTACTCTCTACTATTAAGTATATATACTTAATAGGCCTTGCTTCTATCTCTACTATTATTATTCTTATATTACCTTTAGATTGTCCTTGACCTAGGAGGGTTATTATATCACTGCATTATTAGGCTACCTGGTTAGTAGGCCTTAGGCAAGTATTGGATATAGTCTAGGGACTATATCACCCTGTTCCCAAAGTAGTTGACTAGCAGAGAATAGCAGAGACGGATCCCAGGGTGTGACAGAAGTCAAGTAAAAACTGGTCTAAGTATATGCAAGGCGCATCTGCTATATACACCTATCATATTGCTCAAGACCTTTGATTGTTAGTCAGTGGTGAATATTAATTTTAAATAGCTATTTGCAGAAACACAAAGCTGCTGAATATTTCACAGGCCAGGTATAAGGTTGTTGCTTTCAGGAGCTCTGGATTAGCATTAGGTGAAGGTAGCATGGATTGGTATGAAATGGCAGCATAGTCTGCACAGAGTATACACATGTATACATATATACACTCCGCATTTTGAGTCTAAAGGCTAAGAGCTACCTATAAGGTCTAAGCTCCCTGGTTCATTCTGACTATAGGGGTGGGTATAAACAATACCATGACCAACAATCTTGTTCTTTATCAGACCTTTGAATCTGGTACTTGAACTGACTTTAGCACTAGCTACCTGCTGCTAATGTAGGAAAGCTCCTTAGATATCTTCGAGAGGTTGATGCATTCGTCAGCTCCGAAAACTCTAAAATAAACCACTTTGTTTAACGTCTG